GTACATAAATCAGTAACTCGGTGTATAGGTTATAACAATTCACCAGACACTCTCACCACACAAACCTATTTAATTAAGCACGGATTTATTTTTCCTTGTAACCGTAATAATATTATTTATTTTATTACCTTCGCAACAAGGGAAATTTAAAAATTTTAAGATATTTCTACATTAATATGCACTCTTCTTTTAGCAAATAAAAGCTCTTTACTTGATTTCCTTAGTACTGTCACTCAGCACCACAAAATTAACGGTCTTTTCTCTGCTCGTGCCCTCATTTATGACTTTCGTGAGACTCTAGGTAGCTTTCCAAGATCCGACATTTTACATAAAATCTATTTTTGTCTTCTTTTATCTTCATAGATTTGTTCTTTTCTCCTGACGAGGGGTTCTCCGATGTCTCCCTCCCGGAATTTCTGAATTCGGAGAGTGCTCATTTTCCTGACCTTAAGAGAACACCCCACTGTGCCGGTAATAACGTCTACCTAGAGCAAGTCAGAAAATACGTACTTGGTAGCACCTTCATTTTCCTATGTTGGCAACGCGACTTCATTTACCTGTCAATGTCGCGAATAAGAATAACAGGCAAAATCCAAAAAACCTTACTTGACAGAGCTGGCGTTGGTATTATTTGAATCAATTGATTTCATTTTTTCTATTTATTATCATTTGCAATTTATTAATTTACCGTTTCTTCTGTTTAGGTGGCACAACCCAAGCGTAAAGGAAAATGTGAGACATAACTACCTCTGTGGCTGCAAATAACCAGTGATGAAAGTTATTCCCAGCCAACATAAGGAGTGTTGATGTTCACCCATCTTCCTTCGCATGTGCCACAAGGAATGCGCCTGTTACAAGGATATATTTTCTGTCTTGGACATGCTCCTTGGGAATGCCCGAAACTGACACTAACTCCACTAACACAAAAAAACAAACGATTATACTAATTCTGGGCATGGCTAACCATATTTTTTATGGTTACCCGCAAACAGTGCCAATAACATAACTCCTAGCTTCTCTAGCCCCAAAAACTTTACTGGCAGTTGGGAACTAGAGTTAAATCGTGGATTGGAGACCGCCACGTAGGCGTTAAAGGGCTCGCCCTAAGGCCTTTCCACGCCAATTTTTTTAGAGCGCAGGTGCGGACTTGGTTATTGAAACGGCCCGCAACAACGTAGATACCGATAGTAAATATATCGGATATAGAACAGTGTTGGCTTGTTTGTTCGGGATACCATAGTATTTTGTTGTTGCAAAATGGTCAGGCTTTATCCCTTTATTGTTGTTTTTATAAAAACAACGTTTGTTTATTAGTGACCAAAACCAACTTACATGGTTATGCTACTTCGTTCAGGTTGAACGAAAGCATAACAAGTGGGGAAAGATGTAAATGTTTATAAGGGCGGCTGTAAGATTTAGAAGGCTTTTCCAAAGAATTTTAGTTTTATTTAATTCTTTGATTCCTCTTCTATTGAGCTTACGATCTCGTCACTTGGGTATAAAATGTTTTTTGTCATAGAAGTTATTTTTAAAATAACTTCTGGGGAGAATATCCCAGACAAAAAACAAGGAAACTGATGAGGATTGGTGGCTCTTTCCGAAACCTAGGTATTCCTTGCCTTACCCCCTGGTAATCATTACCATCGTTCTCCACTAATAAGCAAACGTTTTTTTATAAAAACAACAATAAAGGGATAAAGCAAAATGGTCAGCAACAATCGGATATATATATCGGATATATATAGGGAAATATATACAATGTTTATATACAAAGGGAAGGGATGTTAGCTAGAAGGTTTATATCTCAAGAATGGCTGCACAGATTTTGACAATTTTTTTCAATTCATAAAAAAATCGTATAAAAAGACGCCAATAATGACGCTAATAAAGATTTTGTAGTATTTTGTGATATTTATTTTTTATTTTTTTTTTTCAATTTGTGTTATAATATTGAAGTGTATATTTTGTATAATTTTTCACCCTACAACACACCTTGGGGTTATTATATACAGATTGCAACTATCGTCCGATCCTCTGACAATAATATAGACTGTATGTTTTGTATAATTTTTCACCTTACAACACACCTTGGGGTTATTATATACAGATTGCAACTATCGTCCGATCCTCTGACAATAATATAGACTTTGTAGTATTTTGTTATATTTTTTCAATTTGACTTATAATATTGAAGTGTATATTTTGTATATTTTTTTCACCTTACAATAAACGTGGGGGTTATTATATACATATTGCAAATATCGTCCGATTCTCACGAAAATTTTCATAAATGTAACCCTACCTATCCTACCTCAGAAGGGCTAGGCCTATTGTTTTTAAAGATGTCCGCAATGTATTTAGGGGTTGAAATGGACCAACAATAAAAAAATTTTTTTAGCTGTTATAAAGGTCACAAATAGAAACCAAAGGACACGAAATCTCGTATGATGTGAGAGTTTAGGACAGCGGGTAGAATGGACCACAACTTTTGTGTGAAGAAATATCAACATTTCCATTCTACCGAAACGCTGAAAATAACTTACAGGCGAAATCCAAAATACACAAATGGCAAACTTGTGACTTTTTTTGCGGATTTCGTTGCCAAATGTCGTAGACAAGATGAGTCTAAATTTAGAGATACGTGCATTTAAAGATGATCGCAAAATATACAAGGGTTCAAATGAACACAATTGAAATCAATCGACACGGAATTTCGCATGAGAAGAGAGTTAAGGTCTATCATTTTGGATGACTATTGGATTATATTTAGCTGTAACTAACAGACGGACTGCGTAAATATTGGACAAATGTCCCTGGTCAAAAAACTAAGGGTAATATCATAATTTCAAAAGCGAAATCTTCCAAAATGGATTTGTATCACATGGTCGCCCCGCACATCTATAGCCTTTTCTTACTTGTTTTTGTGTAACTTAGTTTTTTTTTAATTTATTTATTTATTTTCAAATAATACAGTTACCTAGTCCATAGGGCCATGGACGGTTCAAAAAACTTCTATACATGGCTACTCTAAAAAATTTACTAACACTTTCTTGGCCATTTAGAAAGAACTTTGCTGATATAAGGAATTAGAATGCATTTTTTATTAAAAATAACATGTTCGCATATTTTGCGTACACTAATTTTTTAAAATATTACGTCCTTTAAATACGGTAGGAAGAAACTGGTGATTGATTACTACACCATTTCCTTAATACACTTTTCAATTTTAATGGACTGCTCAAATAAAAATTTCAGTAACTAATTTAAAAGAACGATAACTAACGTGTTGGCTATGCATTAAGCATGAACATTTGAAATGTGCAGGTCTTAATGGCCGCCATTTTGATGTTCTTACAGATCGTGGAAAATATGGTTGACGTTGAGCATGTATCGATTGTAGGTCCTTGGAAATTAACATTTTAATGAGTCTAAAATTGAATTGCCTGCTTTGAAGAAGATTTTCAACGAAGTATTTTTAAAGCTTTAATATTTCGAAAAAAAAGTTTAATAATTTTCAATTTTTGGATGGATCTCCGAAACGGGATCTAAAATAAACTCCAAACTGATATTATATATACTGATTTCAGTAAAGCTTTCGATACGGTTGTGCAAAATTTATTAATGTATAAACTTGATTAAATGGTCTTTTTTTTCAACTGTTCTAAAATCAATATCGTTTTATTTGCATGACAGAACGAAAAAGGTTTCTTTTAATATATACCTAGTCGAGATACCCAAAGGTTTCTTTTAACAATACTCTCTCTAAAAATATTACAGTATTTTCAGATGTTCCTCAAGGTAGCCTTTTAGTTTCGCTACTTTTCGTACTTTATTAAAAGTACTTTCCATCTGTTATTCGCCACTCCAAAATATTAATGTTTGCTGATGATGTTAAACTTTCCTGCACTCTTAATCACCAATCATTTAATCTGCTAAATGGCTTATATTCCCTTGCAAATCGGTGTAGTGTCAATGAACTGTTTTTAAATTAAAAAAAAAAAAAAAACGTAAAAAATGTTTTTGCACAGATCTCAGCATGTGGCCTACAACTATTTCATTGGTTCTATTACATATAGAGCCTTTTGTAAATAAAGCCATGTCGTTACTAGGATTTATAAAAGGCTGGTCAAAGGAATTTGACGATTTTTATGTGACCAAACACTTATTTATATACTCAAAAAGTTGGAATCTGTTAAGGTTAATTTTCTTCAGTTTGCTCTGACAGGCTTAGGATGAAATTCAAATAAACTTCTTTCATCATAGGTATTTTTATCAACAAACTTTTATGCGGTTGAATTGATTCTGAGTTGTCAGTTTCAGCGCAATTGCATTCTACTTAAACTAACATTATCAAAGAGTTTATTTGCTGATTTTAACAAGTTGTCATTGAATGTCATAAAAAATTCAATCCTACGTTCTTAGTATGTAAAACTGTTGCCAGACTTAGTTTTTGTGAAGTTGAGGTTTGCTGTATTTTGCTTAGATAATTTAATATTTTAATTGTTAAGCGGCTGATGCTCTAATATAGCCGGTTTCCCAAGTCTACTAACCCCCATATAATTGGGTGTATGCGCTCCCAACGTTTTGGGGAGGTGGCCCTCTAGGTTTCCAGGGTCGGGAACGATCGAAAAAAATAATATTCCACAGAATCTATTGACGTAAATCTAACTTCCGAATTACGTAGATTCAATTACAAGGATTAAGCACAGCATGCAAAAGCTTTTGATTTTCAGTTCAAACTCTGAAATATTGCTCAAAAGTATTGCAAGACCGAATTTTGCATATGGTCCATAGAGGTCCACTATATGCTGTTGCACCACATATCAGTAGTACCTCCGGATTTTCGATATTTTTAAGAGTTTGGCCACAATATCCAGCCAAATCGCTGCTGTTAGACATCTTGTTGCGTTGTCGAAGAATAAAGCCAATACTTTGAAGAGCTCGTCACTATGAGAACATGTACTAGTTCAATTTAAGAAATATTTACTTTAAGTTATTACCTGACATTTTCTTCTCCCCATAAACTTTCTCCTTCGTGTCTGCTAACATTTTTTAAAGTGTCAGTTAAGGATGTGGCGTTGTTTGGTGGCGTGGTGTTATCTCCTTCCTCGGATTCTGAAATAGAAAAGGGTAGAATTAGTATCACTCAAGGTCCTGGTCATTATTTTTAAATATTCTTCCAAACGAAGAAAAACTATATTTGAGTTCATTAAAAAAATAGCAATTTGGCAATATTTGAAACATTACATATCTCACATAAAGAGAAGGGAGTATCCAATTTTTTCAAACTTGGTATATCGCCATATTTTTAACAGGTCTAGATTGGGTAAGGAAATGGTCAATATAGGCCCACTTGTCATCAAAAATCTTATTAAATGTGAAATAAGTGTTCTATTGTCTTTAAATTTCGCATACCCCAACAATATTTCTAATAACTAGATTTGGTATGAAGATGGATGGTAAAGCTTGTGTCTTGGCCATCGGACGTTGTTGGAGTAGTCTCTTTTGGGTCCATATCTGTTAAGATAAATACGCGAGCAGGAAGAAGAAAAATAAAAAATAAAAAAATTTGCAGCGCATTGTTGTTGCATCGAAGGCTGTTCTTGTACTGAGACTTACAAATTGAGTGACGTTTTTGGTTCCCGTGCTTGTGTGCTTTTGTTTATAAACAATAGAATTTGATCTGGTGGAATTGCTGTATGTGCTTTGCTCCTGTGTTTGCTGTGTTTAATGATCTCTGTACAATAACTCTTTACTGTGCTTGTTGTTGTAAAATGTTGTGGTATCCGTATCTTTGGTCATGCCCGCTGAGACAAGAACGTATACATGCCCTATCTGTGCAGTTGTTGTTAAGGGCAACCAGAACAGTGTCGGCTGTGGTATTTGTGGAATGTTTTTCCACATAAAATGTGTTGATGTGTCAAGAGAGCAGCATAGTTTTTTGTACAAACATAGGAAGTCACTGATGTTCCTGTTTAAGTGTCCTACGTGTATTAAGAAGAGCTCTGATGATAAGGCAAATACCTCTACTTCAGCTATTGATTGTACGGAGAATGCTAGCAGTATGGAAATTGGTGCCGATGTTATTGGAACAATGCAGAAGGAGTTCGAATCATATAAGCTATGCCTTAAGATGCAATTTGAGAGCTTTATGCTTAAAATTAAGGATGTTGTGAAAATAATACGGTCGGAGGTTGATGATAAAATTAATAAAGTTGAGGAGTCAGTCCGACAGTGCCAAGATGCTGTTAAGCGTATGGAACAAGCTAAGCAGGAAACGGATGCTGAAAGTGATGTTCTTACAAGGCATTAAACAATTAAGAGACTTTGTGCTAAGAATAGCAACCTTGTGCGGTGTTGATGTACAACCTTGTGATGTCAACCACTGTTGTTACATTTCAAAAGGCAAATCTGTGCTTGTAAAGTTCAATTCTGTACTTGTGAGAGACACACTTATGGCTAATTACCAAAATCGCTGTAATTCGCTGTTGCTTAGTGATATTACTGGGGTAGGTGTCCGGCCGATTATTGGAAGCATAGCTGGATGCTACCGGACGCGTCCACAGGTAGTGGAACGCCCAATAGATATATTGGGCAGCTGCGAATAAATAAGCAGTCGCGGATAACTCAGCGGTACCGGGGGAGAGTCTCGGAACAAATATCCGAGTGCCCATGATCCCTGGTTCGACGAGGTGAACAACTGGTGCCTCAAACTATCCAGTGATCGGTGTTGGTCTACCGAAGAATAAGACCCCCTAACGCTGGGGTGTTACGTAAACTGTGCCCATCAGTGTTCCTCGGTTTGCAGTCAGGGTACCGACTGTATTCGTACGGTTGCCTCACTGATACTTGGGCGCCTCAGTGAGTAACAGGCTTAGTTTCCAAGTCCTTTCCATGGTAGGGAGGCTATGCCATGGTGGACCTCGTCTCCTCCAAGTCCGACCTTCTCATATGGAGAAGAATAATTATTTAAATAAAAACAAACCCCCAACTACCACCAATGACTCTATTGCTTCCAAGGAAGCAACGACCAAGGACCGGCCACAGAACACGATTTCCAACTCGGGAGGGGACGACTCTATACTGAATTACAGTGACGTCATCCATGACAGTATTCAGCGACATAGTGAACAATTGTCCGCTCTCCTGGAAAAGACAAAAACTCTAAGGCTCAGTCAGGAAAGTATTCCTTCTGGCTTTGGAAATGACTCACCACTTTTGGACGAGGAACTTGACATCACGGTCATTTCCTCGTCTCAAAGTGGTAAGTCATTTCATAAAGCCACCAAGAACACTCCCAGCGAGACTTGCGCAGAGTCCCAAATCCAGGAGGGATCATTGTCGGCTGGTAACTTCGGACCAGCCTCGATCGGCAAGACGCCATCAATGTAGGTACTGGCGGGGATCCTACCAGAAATCCTACCTCTCATGATGGCGCCGACCCAAAGGAGGCGAAAGCAAAGCGGGGCTATAAAAGGTCGGTAAATTATTGTAAAAAAATTATTGGCGAAGACCCCGCGCAGATAAAGGAGAGAGAGGATTCTGATTAAGATGAACCTCAAGGTAATTGCAAAGTTCGAAAAGAACCACCCGCATTTACCAAGCTGTTCTCTTAATCAGACTCTTCTACCTCTCCTACCATCTGCTATCAACAGTAGGGTAAACCAACCTGTGGTTCAACCCTCTGTTGAGGGCCCTGCGGAGGTCAACAAATCCACCACCGATAACAAGACTACTACGGTAGTTGTTCACGAGGTGACGGCTAATGCCGACCCTGCTGGGTCAAATCCACCTGCCAAAAAGCGCAGGAACAAGAAGGCCAAGAAACCGAAGCCCATTATAGCCGTAGCCTCGGCAGTTCCACCGGAAGCCGGTACCTCTTCACGCCCAGCGTTGAAAAGGGGTCGGTCTACAGAGGAACCACACCCTGAGGCCAAGAAGGCATATACGGGCCCGGCTTCTCGGCCTTTGCCACACAACTTCCACTCCGTCCGCTAGCAAGTCGGTCGTGTCCAAACCACCCCCACCAGCCCCTTCAAGCTCTAAGCCTGACAAGGTCCACAAGGGGGAGGTCAAGTCACAAACGGCAGGCCAAACAGGACGGAAGAGGAAATACTCTCAAACCATCTACCCGGACAATCTTCGGGTAGCAATCATCGACAAGGCTGAACCAGAAGGTAAAATCAGCGACAGTCGATGACTGCTATTCGAAGATCGACTGAGGGAGCTTGTCTTCAAGAGAGAGGGTGACCCACGAAGTATGCAATTCGGCAGTGCAAACCTTTACAGAGGCGTGAAAGTCATGCGCTGTGAAAACCAGGAATCTAAGGATTACCTGGTCACCGCAGTATCTGACTTTCGCGACCTCTGGCAGGGATGTGATCTGGCGGCTGTATCCTTAAAGGACATCCCCTGTCGTAAGGTATTGACAGCTTGGGTGCCACCACCATCCGTGGATCCGGCACGCATTCTGACAATACTGGGCAAGCAGAACCCCAACCTCAAAACAGACAACTGGCGTCTTGTCAATTCAAACACTGAGGGAGGGGGCCTGGTCATCAAAGTATCTATGGATACGGATGGCCAGGAATACCTTCAAGCTCGTCGGGGAAAATTGCACTTCGGCGCTGGATGGATCCGTTTCCGTCTAACGCCGTTGCATTAGGTGGAAGAAAACAGCAGCTACTTAGCATCATGCAGATTAATCTGCATCACTGCAAAGCAGCTGCTGCCGAACTCCTCCTATCCCTCACGAAAGCTGAAGTAGACATAGCTCTGGTTCAGAAACCCTATATATACAATAATAGGGTAACTAGACTAGGGAGTGGGCAGTACGTCTTATATGCGGTCTCCAATGGTGATAAGGTAAGGACGTGTATTGTTGCCAAAAAGAGTTTAAATCTTATCTTCCTTAGCAACTACAGTGGAGGAGACGTTACGGTAGCGAGATTGGAGTCTAAATCCGGGAGGGTTCACATTTTCATCTCTCTCTACCTACCGTACGAGCAACCTGACCCACCTGGCCACGAAGTAGAGGAGCTGCTCAAAGATCTGTCTGACAAAGGGCATATAATCATAGGTTGTGATGCCAACGCACACCACTTCCAATGGGGCTGCAACGATACCAACGTCAGAGGTGAGTCCATTTTTGATTTTATCCTAAAATATAATCTCAAAATATGTAATAGGGCAACGATGCAACATTTCAAATCAAAGATAGGACAGAGGTCATTGACCTCGCCCTAACTAACAAGGACGAATCTCTTATACAAGATTGGAAAGTCTTTCCTGAGTGCTCGTTTTCAGACCACCCAGGCTTCACTGTTTCGACAACATGGTCTTAACCTTAACCCTCGATATAGACAACTCCGTAAATGCGATAACGAGTGCTTTGATTGATTGCTATGAAAGTCTGTCCGCTAACCTACCCAGGGAAAAAATGTCAACCAGTTTGGTGGTCAAAACATTTAGCCAACTTAAGGAGGGATAGTAGACGACTGTATAATAGGGCCAACAAGACCAAACTACGTACGGACGACTATAAGGCATCATTTAACAAGTACAACAGTGAGATCAAGAAGGCCAAGCGCACCTCTTGGGTATGCTTCACGGAGTCGATAGAAAGTGTCAACAATGCCTCCAGATTTCGAAGGATCCTAAATCCATAGGAAGTATAAAACGGACTGACGGCACATGGACTGACTCTGGACTAGAGACTCTTAACCTGTTAGCCAACACATACTTCCCTGGCTGTATCGACACGGCAAGCAATCGGCAAACCGATCAAGTGCATCGTGATCATACGGCTAGAAACCAAAACCTGGCTGACAGAATAGTAAGCTTACCCAAAATTAAGTGGGCTATAGATACATTCAAGCCTTTTAAATCTCCAGATAGAGATCAGATCTCTATTACCCAAGACCGTCATTAGCACTGCTCAGCATGCCTATATGAAAGGTAAATCTGTTGAAACAGCGCAACACGATGTCGCAGGGTATATAGAGAAGAACATGAATGGCTCCTTATTCACCTTGGCTGCCTTCCTCGATATTGAGGGAGCCTTCAACAACGTCACGCTAGAATCCATTCATGATTCACTATCAAAACTTAAAGTA